TGCTTCCTGTCTTCTCATAGAGAAGGGAAAATTTTAAAGCTTGTACTAACCCGCGGCAGCTATGCCAAAAAAGTTGTCTAGGTCTTTTACTTTCCCCTCATACACATTTTTTGGGGGAGGGGCAAGTGTGTTAATGTACCTATGCGAAGCTATGTGTATTTCTTATTTATGATGGAACGTGAACCTTGTATCATCTCTGCTGAAAAAATCTTACGTCTACTTTCATTTATTGGAAGACTACGTGAATGTTAAGCTTTACCGTATAATAGTTCTCACATTTTAATTTCCTTAAAGTTGTATTCAAAGATTTCAGAACCACCTCTGTAATCATTGCAAGCTGGTAATTGTACTTTTAAATTGTATTTGAGTCTACTGAACGCTTCCTTAGGTACGTATTCACACCTAAAAAGACCGAGACAATATTGTGTGAAAGCTCTTTCAAGGAGTATGTGGGTGGCTCTTAAAAGAGCCTTTGGGTTAAAACTGGCGATCCGAGACGCTCTACTTGGAGCTGGTGTACTTGGTGACGGCCTTGGTGCCCTCGGAGACGGCGTGCTTGGCCAGCTCACCCGGCAGCAGCAGCCGCACGGCCGCCTGGATCTGCCGCGAGGTGATGGTGGAGCGCTTGTTGTAGTGCGCCAGGCGCGAGGCCTCGCCGGCGATGCGCTCGAAGATGTCGTTGACGAAGGAGTTCATGATGCCCATGGCCTTGGACGAGATGCCCGTGTCGGGGTGCACCTGCTTCAGCACCTTGTACACGTAGATGGAGTAGCTCTCCTTGCGGCTCTTCTTGCGCTTCTTGTCGCCCTTCTTCTGGGTCTTGGTGACGGCTTTCTTGGAGCCCTTCTTGGGCGCGGGGGCAGACTTGGCCGGCTCAGGCATTTTGACACTGCTTCACCTTTCCTACGGAGCAAGATCACTAAGATGGTCGCAGCACACTATATTTATAGGACTGTTATGCAAATACAAGACCTCTGACTCGTACAATTCGATTGGACTGTCCCGCACGGACGTGTACATTTGTCTCTGATTGGTCACAATACGATCCATCTTCTCATTGGTTGTATAACCAATGACTGCTTCCAGCCAATCACCAAGCGCTAATCCCGCCCAAGGAAGGGATAAAATGGGAAGGGCTGTTGCGTCAGTATGATTTTCTCGGTCCTGTGTAGAGAGGGGTGGTTGTAGTCCTTTCAGGTGCCTGAAGCAATGTCTGGTCGTGGGAAACAGGGAGGCAAAGTCCGAGCTAAGGCCAAGTCGCGCTCGTCGAGAGCCGGGCTGCAGTTCCCCGTGGGCCGTGTTCATCGGCTTCTTCGGAAAGGTAACTACGCCGAGCGGGTGGGGGCTGGAGCGCCTGTCTACATGGCTGCCGTGCTGGAGTACCTGACGGCCGAGATCCTGGAGCTGGCGGGCAACGCGGCCCGCGACAACAAGAAGACGCGCATCATCCCCCGCCACCTGCAGCTGGCCATCCGCAACGACGAGGAGCTCAACAAGCTGCTGGGCAAGGTGACGATCGCGCAGGGCGGTGTGCTGCCCAACATCCAGGCCGTGCTGCTGCCCAAGAAGACCGAGAGTCACAAAGCTAAAAGCAAATAAGCTGACCGAGCAGAGCTGCTCAGACTTTTACATCAAAACATTACAACCCAAAGGCTCTTTTCAGAGCCACCCACAAAGTCAGAAAAGAGTTGTGTTGCTTTCTTTACAAAAGTGCTCTGGTGCTAAGTATTTCTTACATGCTGCCTTTGTTAGGGAGCTAAAACTGTTGTGTTACTGTCAAAACTTTTAGTTCCTATCTGAATACAGTTCCTTTCTAACCCTTTTTTTAAATGAAAGAGCACTATGTAGTGGCTTGTTGAAAAGATTTTCTCTCTCTTCTAATGGGATCAGTAAATTGTGTTGGCATTAAGTCTACTCAACTTTTTTGACATTACAAGCAACTTACAGTGTCAAATGTGTAGGGGGTTAGCTAAAAGACTGGGGTAGAGTGGAAAGATCTATGCAGCATGAAAGTACCCCAATTGCACATAACTAAACCTAAGTAGCATGAAAGGCTTCCTTTATAGGCCTTTTTTTCTTAAAAAGATGTAAAGTTTCCCTGTGACTTAAACTATCTCTAGAATCAAAATATAGAAATGCTTTAGGGCAGATGGCTCATTTCGATGTAGATCCTGAACTAGTCAGACCTGCAACAGTTAGCACCTTTCCATTCAAAAGAAGCTCCTTGCAGTGCAGCTATGTTCCTGTTGAAGTGGAATTTTCAAACTTGCTACTCTTGCACATTTGGTCACTGCATAGCTGTTCCTCTGGTTACATCAACTAGCAACAGGCAAAATTATTTGAATTCATATTCTACGTTGTTGGCACAAGTATTACCCAGGAGTACAATGGTAAAGTTCTTTAGAGTCACTGTTATGAATTATGAGGAAGGCTGCTGAGTTTTTTCCTCTTGCTAGGATGTTCCCAGAAGCTGCACCAGAAGGTCTGCAGGACACTGCATTGAGGCCACAGTTCCCACAGCTGCAGCACCTCTGCCCTCTCTGTATCCTGGGGAGGAGGAACGCCCTGGGACTAGAGGAAGGGAAATGCCACCCATAGCAAGATAATACCCCCTTGATCTTTCTTCCCTATCCCCAGGCTGTAGCAGAAAGGCTTCTTAGGCAGGACTGCATCATGGCCAAACTGACACATCAGGAATAATTTGTGGAGAGAAACATAGAGGAAGAGAGCTGGCTGGAGTTATTCTGATACAGTGACAGTATCTATGCCTGGAGGGTTTGTTTGCAAGTAGATACATGTAAAGTTGTAATGGTTTTGTTATGCTGTTTTATTGATCCTCATTAGATGCAGCTACATGTATCTTGACACCTCTCTTCTTGAACTGTGATGATATAAAAACTGTTTTAACATGCACAAGTCTTCTATACTTAGTTTCCAGAACAGATCCCTGCACATGTGTGTGTCAGAAGATCCGAACCATAGAATGGTTTGGGTTGGAAGGGACCTTCAAGATCATCTGGTCCAAACCCCCTGCCATGGGCAGGGACACCTCTCACTAGACCAAGTTGCTCAAAGCCCTGTCCAATGTGGCCTTGAATGCTTCCAGGGAGGGAGATTCCATAACATCCCTGAGCAACCTGTTCCGGTGTCTCACCACCCTCACAGTAAAGAATTTCTTCCTAATATCTAATGTAATATCTAATCAATCTAATATCTAATCTTTCAGTTTAAAACCATTACGTCTCATCCTATCACTACATGACTTTGTAAAAAGTCCCTCTCCAGCTTTCCTGTGGGCCTTCTTTAGGCATTGGAAGGCTTACAATGTCTCCTCACAACCTTCATTTTCCAGGCTAAACAACTCCAACCCTCTCAGCCTGGCCTTGTAGGGCAGGTGCTCAAGCCATCATCTTCTCCATAGCCCTCCTGTGGACTCACTCCACCACATTCATGTTCTTTTTTGTTGGGGGACCCCATAGCTGGACACAGTACTACAGGTGGAGTCTCATGAGAGCAGAGTAGAAGGGAAGAAACACCTCCCTCAACCTCCTAGTTATGCTGCTGCCTATGCAGCCCAGGATATGATGGCCTTTCTATGCTGCAAGTGCACATCTCTAGATCAAAAGTGTGGGATTCCAGAGAAAGCCCATGGGGGTGAGGGTATCTGTATCCAGGAGTGGGATTTCTTTGTGAATAAACTTGTATGTGTGGATATCAGAGTTGGTATTACAGGAGTGGGACCTGCCCTTCTGTGAGTGTGGAGTTAAGTCCCACACATCTTTCCCAATTCCTCTTGTCATCTGACTAGAAATCCATTATTTTATTCAGAATTTTATTGCAAACACTTCTTATTTTATTCTCTGCTCTGCTCATCTCAGGAACTGGGGTTTCATCCTCTGTAGTACTTAGGTCCACTTCTTAGCATTCCCTATTTTTGTTTTTAGCCACTACTGGTTGCACCAGTTGTGAACCCTGTGCTGTCAGCACACTGATGAGGCCTCAAATGTAAATATAAATGCCTTATAAGTCAGATGGGTTGTATAATATGAGTGCTGGCAAATCTACTGGTATTAAAGACTCATGGCTTTCAAGCAAACTCCACTGGATGAAGCAATGTAGCAAAGCAAGCTTAAATAAATGAGCTTTCTCTCATTTGCATGCACAACAGCAGTAAAGAGGAAATCCATGCCATATGGTGCCTCAGCTGTATCACTGGCTTCCAATATACTTTCACATTCTAAAGAACTTGTGATTGAAAAAAACCAATAATCCAATCAAGCTCCTTTAAATGTTATAAGTCAGTTATGGTTAGGGATAGCTCAATAATGTCAGTTTATAAATTCAAAGTATTAGAATTGGATAGTTAAAAATTAAAATTGAAATGCTTTTATACCCCTTTTCACCTTCATATTATTTGCAATGTTAGGGTTAATGTACTCTGTTAAGTAGATCTTACATTAGGTGGTGAATGTTGTTATTACAGTGGTAGCAGGTACAGATGTGGATTTAAATTGCCATATAAACTCTCAGGAAAATTAAGAGAAACTTTACAGTTGGATACAACACACTGATGTGATGATTTTTTTACTAGTCATGTACTTTCTCATGCGGTCATGGTGAGATGTTGCCTTACTGCATCAAAAAATGCAGTTTCCTCATTATAGTTTAATGAGGAACTAGGGCAACTCTCCTAATTAAAGCACACTTGAAAAGCTAGAGTATTTTTCATAAATGGAACAGAGTTTTTCAAAGGTTTCCTTTCTCATTTGACTCCTACTACTATATGTCCAAACTCATGAGCAAAAAGTAGTAGGTATAATTTGGCAATTGGATCCTAAACTTTGATCCAAATAATAATTCTTGTCTCCAATGAACAAGAAAAGCAATTTCATTAGGGATTATACTCAGCAGCAAAGTTTTCTTTCCACTTTAATTATTTTTGTCTAAGAAAACCCTCTGGTCCATGAGAGAACTGATTATGTCACTAGCAGTAAAACCTGGGTTACATCTCTGGCTACTCTTAGCACCCTACAGGCAAGGCAGCCTTCTAGAAAGCATGATAATTTATATCAAATATGCTCCACACTTTAGGGAAAAGGGGTTTCCAGCTAATTAATCTGTAAGCTACTGGTCTTAGCCTCTGCATCACCCATTTCTGCCACTTCGGAAAATTATTTTCCAAGTCTTCTAATGGTTATATTGCTAGAGGGAAAAATTATACTAGGATACTCACCCTACGCTTAGGAAGAGTTATGAAGAAATTATGATTTTGACACACTAGATAATTTGTACAATGTATGGCTTCCTTTAGCATTCAGAAGATTGTTTATAACTGCCTGAGAAAACATATCTCGACATAGATCTTCAGGTATAAAGAACAAAGCAGACTTTGTGGAGCCAATGATAAAGTTAGGCACCAGCTTGGCAGGTCCACTAATGACAAGCCTCCCAGTTAGTCTGTAAACAGACTAAAGCTAGTTTTGCCACCTCATGTGATATATAATTCAGTGGCAATTCTTTCACTTTAATTTGCTGACAATAACAGTTTGGATGAAAATGGAATTCACAGCGATAAATATAATAATAGAAAAGCCTTGTACTTTTTTAGACACCTGTAACTTAATATATGAATATATCAATCATGTTTTCCCCTGAATTTAGGGAATATATCCTGCCAAGAAATATCCTGGAGATGTTTCCTGAATTGTGTAAATTACGTTCAGAAATTAAATTACATAGACAACTGTGTAAATTTAAAAGGATATCAATCATTTGTAAAAGGTAGGCATGTTTGAAGTGAACCAAATACTAATAACAATTGGCAAGTACCATAGCCATATGACTTCTATTCTGAGTGTGTAAGTAACACTTAAGATCTTTATACATTTAATTTAAAAATATAGTCTCATAACCTTCATCATTTATTCATCCACTTACAAATACAGTCCAACATACTGTAAGTAACATGTATGATGGGTTTGTTAGCATAAACGTGAAATACAAAGCAGAATTTCTGTATTGCTTGCTTGAAGAAAAAATATTTGTTTGTTCATTTTTGAGATATCACACAGACATTTGTTGTTAATGTCTATAATGTTTCCTTTCTCACGTTGGATCCAGCTGCACGGTAGAGAGCACTACTCTATTTCAGAGCTCTCAGATGCCGGGAGGGAGCCCGGCGCCCTGCGGCCAGCACTGCCCCAAGTACCGCGCAGCGGGCCTGGGGGGGGCTGAAGAAAAGGGCAGACGGTCCCTCCTGCACTCCCAAGCAGCCGCTTCGAGCTGCCTTCAAAAAGGAGCCTCAGGTTTAAGCGTTTCCCACCGGGGCCCCTCACTGACCGTGTTCTCTGCCGCTCAGAGACTCGCTCCCTCCTCCTTCTCGCACCGACCTGCAGGTCGCTCCGTGCGGATATGAAAGCGCTGAACGCTCGGTGCCTGGCCGCCTGGGATGCACGGAAGAGGGGGCAGCTGTCGGGAGCGCAGTCTCTGAGTAGACAAAGAAAACGCGGAGCCGCTGTGGCCGAAGCGAACAAAGAGCGCGATGACCAGGAAAAGGCCCTTCCCGGGGTCCTCACGAGCGGAAACGGG